CTGTCGGTGGGTGGGTGGGGGGGGGGGTGGGCTAGAGAACAGGGTGTGATAGGAAACGGCGATTTCTAAACAAAAGTTCACTTTCTGCCCTCTTTGAAAGTGGATTTAAACCAGTTGTAGTTTAAAAACCCCACTCTGCAAGGATTGGCCAGTAAAGACTTTTTTTTTCCCTTAAGGGGGATTCAGTGTTACATAGACTTTCCTTCGCCCATTCGGAGTGGGCGATTTTGAGAAAACGACAGATTACCTCCCAGGGATTTTTATTTGGTTTCCAGTCAGATTCATCGGTTGTTTATATATTTATATTGTTTCGCAACGGCAAAAATAACCTGTAAAGGAAGATGTGTGTGTACAATTTCTTACTTTGTTAATCCAAAACAACTCTGGTAAATATCCTAATGCACTTTCTAAAGGGTGCTCTTAATTATTGCTGTGAAAGAACAGAAAGGGATGGATAAGTTATTTTTGCATTAGCATGTTTTCACTAGACTCAGAGAAGGGACACAAGAAGCGAGACTTGTTCTTAAACCTCACTTTACTTCCTTAATTTCCCTGGCCGGGCAACGTAAATTGTGCTGTAACACACAGCTACTTTATAAAAAAATAACCAAGAAATGATACTCTCCAGCCCGCACTCATACCACTTCGCTTTAGAGAGTTAAACGATTTATGATAGGTTAACAAATAGTTATTGTCTGAACAGCCAATGGTAATGCGGATCTAACTCTGACCAATAGACAGGTACAATGTGCCGGAGGGGACGGCTCTTGATTCTCACGTCCAATAAGAAAAGAGGAAAGGGAAACGCCTAATTTGCATAAGGCTTCTATAAATAGAGGGGCGGCCGCTACTATTTCTATACTGTTATTGCTGGGTGTTTAGAGATTGAAGACTAGTCTACGTCGAGTACTTTAAAATAGAATAGCTTTTGTCAAGATGCCTGAGCCAGCAAAATCTGCTCCCGCTCCCAAGAAGGGCTCTAAAAAAGCTGTGACGAAGACTCAGAAGAAGGGCGATAAGAAGCGCAGAAAGACGAGGAAGGAGAGTTATTCCATCTACGTGTACAAAGTGCTGAAACAAGTTCACCCGGACACCGGTATCTCCTCTAAGGCCATGGGGATCATGAACTCCTTTGTGAACGACATCTTCGAGCGCATTGCGGGGGAAGCGTCTCGCCTGGCTCATTACAACAAGCGTTCAACTATCACTTCCCGGGAGATCCAGACCGCTGTGCGCCTGCTTCTGCCGGGGGAGCTGGCGAAACATGCTGTGTCTGAGGGCACCAAGGCCGTCACCAAGTACACCAGCTCC